CCCTGACAAGCATTTTCAGGCTCGTCTTTGTCATTTGAGACGTTTCTCCCTGTGGACAACGGGGAGGGGCAGACTACGACCAAGCAAGAGAGCAACATGACATCCAATGCCAGCCAGGCCCCAATTAACTACTAACCGGGCCCCAGGGGGGAGGGGGAAGGGGCAGATAGCCACAATTCTTTCACCGCCATCCCTATTGGGCGAGGCGTCGTGTGACCGCTTGCTCTTTTCGTCTTGTGGCATGGGCAGCAAACATTGTTGAGTTCGAAATAATCGGCTTCAGACCGACATCCCGTACCAGCAAGTCTAGACTTGATGAGACTAGTAAAAAGTGGACGCATGCCAGACCGAACCCCAAATCGAACGCTCCTAGACATGATAGGCTCTTCAGTGTCCCCTCGTCATATTCACATGGTTTCCTAACTGTCGTGTTGGCTGTAGTACTTTTCACCGCTCGTATAAAGGTGTCGCGTGTCCCATTACCGCCTATGGTCTGTCTGCCCTCCACTGCCCTCCACTGTCTCTGTCCAATGTGGTGCATCGTGTCAGCCACGGGGTTGTTTATGAGACTGTGTGCTGCTTCGATTGATTGACATATCCAACTAGACAGAGGGCAGGCATAGAGTGCAGTTCGGATCAATTTTGGGGCCGAAACCTCTCTTTCTGAAACCGATCTTGTCACTCATTTCCTTGCGCCGGCACCGAATAACATCTGTTGACAATTCCGACCAGCGAAATGTCTATCATCGACACCACCAAGGACCTGGCAGCGCTCTTTGAGCAGCAAGCCCAGGCCACTCCCCAAGCGATCGCACTCGAAGATGAAAAGCGAACTCTCACATACGCAGAACTCGATAGCGAAACATGGGCGCTGGCGGACCGCCTCCGCCAGTATGGCGTCGGCCGAGATTGCTTAGTTGGCGTGCTCATGAATCGCAGCGCTGACAACGTCGTTGCCTCTTTGGCAGCTCTTCGTGCTGGTGGTGCATATCTGGTTCTTGAATTGGCGTATCCTGCTGCCTTATTGCGCGATGTCATTGATGACGCTATGCCAACCGTCATTGTGACGCAAAAGGCCCATGCCAGCAATCTTAATGTCGACATCCCCGTGATTGTCATTGACCATCCAGATATGACAGTTGGCGCAAACGAGCCCATCCTAGTGGATCCTAAGCCCCCATTGCCAGCAGAAGATGATCTTGACCGACTCGCATTTGTGTCATACTCGTCAGGGACGACCGGCAAGCCCAAGGGCATTGCGAATCCGCACAGAGCCTCCGTCTGCTCATATAACCTGAGATTTGGTCTTAGCGATTTGAAGCCCGGCGATAGAGTGGCCTGCAATGTCTTCTTCACATGGGAAATGCTTCGGCCGCTCCTCCGCGGAGCGACCACGGTCGCTGTCCCAGACAGTGTGAGCTACGACCCTGATGGTCTGGTAGAATTCCTCGCAGCTCGAAAAATCACCGACACATTGATGACTCCGACTCTCCTTACCACAGTTTTGACACGCCATTCATCCCTCGCCGATACCCTTCCTCATCTGAAATCCCTGTGGCTCAATGGTGAGGTTGTGACGACGGACCTCTGCCGTCGGGCTTTCACTGCGCTCCCCGCTGTTCGACTTCTTAATGTGTACAGCGCCAGCGAAACACACGAGGTTGCGGCGGGTGATATAAAAACCTTTATTGACTACGAGGCAAGAGTATGCCCCGTAGGTCCGCCAATGGATCCCTCAACCATTTACATCCTCGATGAGGCCGGCAACAGGGTCGACATGGGGACAAGTGGTGAATTGTATGTTGGTGGCGACATGCTAGCCAGAGGGTACCTCAACCTTCCGGAAACTACAGCCAAGGCCTTCCAAATTGATCCATTTTCGACCGGTTTAGATGCCAGAATGTATCGAACCGGGGATATGGCCAGGATGCTCCCTTCTGGCCTCCTCGAAATTACCGGCAGAGTAGGTGGAATGATCAAGACTCGAGGATACACCGTCCAGCCTGGAGCCGTTGAAACAACAATTGTAAAGCACTTGGCGGTTCGATCTTGCGCCGTGGTTGCTCGTGGTGATGGCCTAGACAAGCAGTTGGTGGCTTATGTCGTTCCCGACAAGGGCGAGATTCGCAATCGAACCGTTTTGGTAGTGGATGAGTCCGGGTACAGTCCTGTCGCTCGGAGAGCACTTTCCGACCATCTTGCTCATTACATGATTCCTACTCTGTGGGTTGAGCTTGAGACGCTACCCACGAATGACGTCTCAGGAAAGACGGATCTCAAAGCCTTGCCTCCTCCACCGTCGCCGAAGACCCCAAACATCAATGCTAAAAAGGAGCATGATACGAGGATTAAAATGGACACCATGATCAAAATGTGGGCTTCGTCTCTGAACATTCCTGCAACTGCCATTTCCCAGAGCCATAGCTTTTTTGACTTGGGTGGCCACTCCTTAACTTTGGCTGACTTGGCTGGCCGTTTGACGAGAACATTTGGTTTCCCGATTCCTCTTGCACCCCTCGCCGGTACGCCAACTCTGGAGGGTCATATGGAAGCGGTACGAGCTGCACGAGATGGCCATACGGCCGCCGTACAAGCCGACCTTCCCGCCGTTCTACTGGCTGACTCGGCTCTGCCCGATGACATCAAATGCAATGGCAAGCCTATGTGCCGTCTTGATGATGCGAAGACTATACTTCTGACTGGTGCGACGGGTTATTTGGGCGCCTTCCTTCTCAAGTCTCTTCTGGAAAGCACCTCAGCTCAAATCCTTTGCCTCATTCGTTTCACAGACCCGAACATTGACTGTCGTCCAGCTGGTATTGCACGTATTCGAAAGAACTTGATCGATCAGGGAATATGGAATGACGCTATGCTGGAGAGAATGGAAGTTGTACCCGGTAATTTGGCCCGTAATCGCTTTGGTCTCTCTCCCGAAGCTTTCGAGGATCTTGCTTCACGTGTTGATGTCATTGTCCACGCGGCTGCCACTGTCAATTTGGTCTACCCCTACGCTGCACTGCGAAATGCCAATGTTGGAGGCACACGCGAGGTTTTGAGGCTCGCCTCTCGTGGTGGCGCCACTGTCCACCACGTATCGACCAACGGTGTCTTGCCGCCGTCGAAAACTGCCTGGACAGAGGAAGCCATGCTGGATATAGATGATGTACCGACGAAACTGCCTGATGGGTACGGTCAAACCAAATGGGTTGCTGAGATGTTGGTGTACGAGGCTGGCCGACGAGGCATGCATGTCAAAGTGTATCGGCCTGGTACCATCAGTGGTCACAGCCTTACTGGCGCGACGAACACGTACGATCTTTTGAATGCGTTGATTGTTGAATCTCTGCATCTGGGATATGCCCCAAAGGTCGATGGCTGGCTGGCCGAGATGACACCTGTAGACTTTGTCAGTCAGGCCATCGTCACCTTGGCTAATCACCCTTGTACAAAACAGAAGCTGTATCATTTGGGTGACCCAAATCCTGTGACTGCCGAAAATGTATTCCAGGATCTTGAGGCCCTCGGATATCCTACTAAACGACTTCCTTGGGACGACTGGGTAGCCTTATGGAAGGAGAAGCGTGGGTCCGGACGAGGTGGCGATGATCCCTTTACTGTCGACATTCTTCGAGGTGGTATGCCTACAGTCGACACGCTTGAACTGGTCACGATTCTTAGCGACGAGGCTACTAAGCCAGCTCTGGATCTGTATGGTGTTTCACGACCTAAAATCGACAGAAATTTGTGGGAAACATATGCGCGACACTTCTTTGCTCGTGGCTGGCTCCCACGACCGCCACTGCGTCTAAAGCTAAATGGTATGAACCCTCATCCCAAGAAGGGTCGCCTGTCAGGCCGCGTGGCCGTTATCACCGGAGCGTCCTCAGGTATTGGTGCCGCTGTTGCTGCTAAGCTGGCTGGCGAGGGCGCTCACATTGCTCTCGCAGCTCGCCGAATCGATGAGCTCGAAAAGGTCAAGACCAAATTATCCACTTGCAGTGGCAAGATCTTGGTCCATAAGACAGATGTTACCAGCAAGGCCCAAGTCGAGTCTCTCATGAAGACCGCGACAGAGAAGCTTGGGCCCATTGACATTCTCGTTAGCTGCGCTGGCGTCATGTATTTCACCATGATGGCCAACTGTCAGACAGAGGAATGGGAACGCACCGTCGACATTAACTGCAAGGGGCTGCTGCACTGCCTTTCGTCAACAGTCCCCGGTTTCCTGGAGCGAAAGCGCGGCCACGTCGTTGCCATCTCATCGGATGCCGGCCGCAAGGTTTTCCCTGGCCTCGGTGTGTATTCGGCCAGTAAATTCTTTGTTGAAGCCACCCTGCAGAGTCTGCGGCTGGAGACTGTCGGCTCAGGTCTCCGGGTCACGGCTATTCAGCCAGGTAACGTTGATACTGGCCTGTTGAACATTTCTACAGATGCCGAGGCTCTGAAGAAGTACGGCGAGCCCACCGGGGCCAAGGTGCTGGATGCTGAGGACGTCGCGGGTGCTATTTTGTACGCCGTTACTCAACCGGAGCATGTCGCCGTGAACGAGGTGCTTATTGAGCCCAGAGACGAGCCAATCTAACCATGCAATTAGCATATTTTGCGTAATGAGGGGGGACAGGAATACAGGGAAGCTATGCTATATATTACGACACTTGTAATATCAATTCACACATCTTCATTATTTTCATCTCAGTATAATGTGTGCCGTGCGCATCGGGAATCATTTTCGATGTGACACTGGATGCGAAACATACCAGCCCACGTCGCTCCTTCCTTCTCTGCCCACAGTTCTCGGGTAGGATCACTTGAGCCCGGGTGGCCTGGGCAGGAATTCGTCATCATGTCGCATCACATGATTATGCACCATGCAGGAGTCCCCAAGAAATGGTGGTGTTATTACGATTGGCACCTATTGTGCAAGAGAAGCTGTGTCCGTGAAGAAACTTAAACGCCCTGCTGTCCAGAGAAGAGATCCAGCGATATGGCAAAACACCCTATTAATCATCCGTTTCTTCATCCATGTCTACATCATCATGCCAAAACTCTAGTGCCTCTAAGTCGCCCGCGCTCAAGTTGTAAATACCCGCTGTTTCTGCTAATCGCTGCGCTCGTCTGGTAGTGATTAATCTTTTATCTGGCTTAAGCACACCATAAAGTCCTGGCACCACAAGGACGCAAGAAGTCATGGCTGCGCTGTGAGACGTCATTGCCTTCAGCATAGCAAGCTGTCGCCCCGCCATTTTCCAAAGAAAAGTGGTTCTATGTTTGGGGAATACTTTAAATGCAAAAGAGGCTTTGAGTAGCTCCCACAAAGTTGACTGGCGGTCCGCCATGTAAGGCTGAAGAAGATGTTGAACCAAGTCGGAGGATCTCTCGGTTGCTAGTGGCTGAATTTCACGCCATTGCTGGTAAATTGACCCGACAATGGCAACATAATCTTTATCCTTGTTAAGCGTATTCGCCCATAGCTTTAAAACAGACTCCATGTCTCCCCTGAGAGCATCCCGAACTTTGGCCCACGTAGCTCTAGTCATATACTGACCATACTGCTCATTATAAAAATTAAACAGTCTTGTCAGGTGCTCATCATAATAGGTGGCTTCGTAGCTTTTAAGAGTTTTTCCCAACTCCTTAAGAGCTTCTGTAATTGTTCTTTCCGCAACCACGTGCTTTAAATGATCAAGGATATGCGGGTTCGCTTGTTTGGAAATATTATAAGACGAACGATCTAGCATGTATCCTGGATCATCTAGAAACTTCGGTATCTGCAGGTCCTGACGGAATTGGTCCCAATCAGAAGTTGTAAAAATATATCCTTGTTTTGGCTGGTCTACCAGGCATCCCAACAACCTGCTCAATATGAGAATATTCTTGCTGGAGACGCTCTTGGTATGATAGGAATAGCGCTCTTTGTAGTCAGTACACTTTCCAAGGAGAAATGGTTGCATGTTAAAAGCGAATGACTCGCGAAGGAATTTGGCGCACACGCGCTCGTCACCAGTCTCTTCTTGGCGAATCTGAGCCATCGATCTGTTCAGCTTTCTTAAATGACCCAATTTCTCTGGATCTGTGTCATCGCCTGGCATGGCTGCATTGCAGAAATTTTCGACAATCTCTTGGTCCCAGCAGACCCAGGCGCGATCTCCATCATAATCCCCACCAGACAGTTTATCAGCAAGAGATGACCGGCCCTTCGTAGAAAAGACAATAACATCCTTCAAGTGTCTTAGTTGAGGTCTCGAGACAACCTTTACCCGTTGAATGTCGCTCGGCAAGTGGCTTGGCGCTCTGGCTACAAGCACATCCATTCCCTCTAAGAGTGTGTCGCAGAAACCATCCACTTGGAATTTTGTGGAAAACGATACATGAACTTCATCCTCTTCTAATGTCGATGAGAAGTCGACAACCATAAGAAGGTAGGCAGAACAGGGCACACAGATTTTCATCTTTGCTTTCAGGAATGCTGCTCGATCCCGTGCAGCGTCCCGGAAGAGATCCTGTAGATACTTGCAGCTTTTCGGATGAAAACCAGAATCTAAGAGGACGGCCATCACTTTCTTCGGGTCTCGTGGAAGACAACCCAGAAAAGCCATACTATTATCGAGTCCCTCTGGTTTTGACCCGCCACCTTGCTGTAACCAGAGTCTCAACTCCGCGGAGTCTTCCATTGCCGTCCTTTGTGCAGCAAGTTCCTCTAACAGCCCGCGACGCAGATGGGCTGAAATAGTATCTCGCATCTTGTATGGGTTGATAGCCCGAGCCTCCAGGACTGGTATGAACTGTTGATTCAATGACGCAGGCCTGGGCTCTTTTGACCATTCCTTGACTTCGAAAGTGCGGTGATGGCTGTCTTCATGATCACAATCCCATTTGATTTGAGATGCATACGTGACAATCCAGTCTCCGTCTCCAAGGATTGGGTCGCTGTCGATAATCCACATTCCTTTTGCACCGCCTAACCGTGCCTGGAAAGCACACGGAAGCTCTGTGAGACCCAGTTTTGAGGCGATCTTCATCGCGAGCGCTTTCGATATCCTGCCTATCCCATCGTTCATTGTGCTATGAGTCCCAATGTCATAGCTCAAGCTATGGATTTGATGTTTTTCGAGGACAACGGTGGCATGTGTGTGGCTAAGACCTAGAATAGCTGTCAGCTTTTGATAGTCGTCGAGCAACAGATGAATTTGTTGGTTCCTACTTAGACTAATTCTCGAAAACAGTTTAGGGACCTGTTGGTTTGTCGTACCACCCCCAATTGCCCAGTCCAGTAAATTATGAACCGGCATTTTGGTTCTTATACCCGGAGTGCTGGCTTGTGCGATTGGCGGTAATAAACCATTGAGACAACCCTTGAAACTATCCCCGTCTGAAGCAAAAAAGAATATCCTGACCTGCGGTACTGCTGGTGCACTCTTGCGGATCCCCTTCTTCCTTGGTGCCGGTTTACAGTAGAATGCAGTCCATCGCCGCCCAAGAAAATAGTGCTTCTCTGTCAACCAATTAATAATTGCATCAGTTGACACATTGTCATTTTTGGTCTTTGCAACCTTTCGCACGTGATTGGGATATGGCATTAGTATTTCCAGAAATCTGTCAGCTCCAAATCGACGACTCAAACGGTGGCTTTTCTCGAGATGTAACGGATGAAGTTTGAGTGAAAACAACGGACCAGCTGAGCTGCGATTCAATATTAGCTCTGCGGATAGCATTACTGCCTGAGTTGTTGACTGAAACCCTTTTAGAGCGAGATCCCATGCATCATGACTACTGGGTTGTGGCATGCTCTTCGCGTGGAATGCCGGTAGTTGCGAAAGTGCATTATGCAGGTTAGACTGGTTCCTCCATTGAGATACATCGTCGTATAGCACATTACAATCAGTCAATTTTACTCCACAGTGAAGAGCAATACGCGTTACTTCCCAGATTACGGCAAGTGGTGCTCCATTGAACGTTTCATTCAGAAACCCAGCTACGAGAATTGTGGCCTGTTAGCGAGGTAACAAACAGAAATTTAGTTATGTACTTACGCCAAACCCCTTTGAGCCTCGTGTCTAAAGTTTCGGGAGGGATATGCGCATCTGCAACCTCTTTTTCTGAGTCGGATGGTGACTCTTGACTGGTGAAGTATTCGGAGCTGCTATCGTCAAGTGGTGAGTTACACCCCGATGCCGACGAGGAGGATGTATTTTCGGATGTAGTGGACGCAGAAAATGATGTGGCTATCCCAACAGGCCGGGGAAAAGGTGACGGTTTTTTTCGTGTCCCGAACGACCCCAACACAGACGCCGGGTCCAAGGCTCGAGTTTTCGGGGTCGATCTCAATGGAATCGAATCAATGGCATTGTTTACCTTTTCTTTCTGTTTGTCTTCCTTGCTCTTAGTTCGTTTCGACATTGAAGAGTTGTCATGGGACAACCTCTTTCGCATCATTAAGCTGCGAGATGTGATGACATGTAAAGCCCGAATATAGCTGGGTTGCTTTCAACTGAGCAAAGCATGGGCTAGGGCAACAGCAAAGCAAGAGCAAAAGTAACGGCAAAGGCAGAGGCAAAGGCAAAGTCAATGACACTCAATCCTAATCATGTCTAACCAGTCAGCAGAGGGAGTCCCAAGCAACTAGCCCAAAATGTCGCCAACAGTCAGATCAGAATGGGACATCGAACGACAGGTGAAGGAAACCAGTCTAGACTAGTGCGGGATCTACCGACGCTAGTTTGTGGTGTGGGCCTGAGAAATTCCAGGAAATTCTTGGAATTGAGGAAGATGGACTGAGGCAGGCCGAAAAAACGACGTTGAAGCGGGGAATCTAAGGGAGCGAGGTACGTGAATTGCACAGTGCTAAGTGAGATGGAAAGCAATATTTGCACAGTCCTCGGAAAGTCGTGTCATGTGACCTCTGAAGCCTCACTAACCACATCCACCAAAAGGTTGTCGGGGGTTCGGCATTCCTGAACGCGTGGCTGGGACCATCTTTCGGGCATTTCACTCGTGTTATTGATACATTGCGCATGATATCGGCTTTGGAAAGCATTTGCTATTTTCTGTCTACCAATATACGCAAAATCTACACCCGCTGCACCAGTCTGCATAATGACCGAGACTACCGAAGCTGAGGAGGCGATCCCAATTGAAGAGCTGACACCCGAGGAAGCAAACCGCATAATTCACTCGCACCGAAAAGTGCGATATGGCAAGTAGTCCCTGGGGTTCTTGTTGGCCTTGATTCTACACCCAGCTGCAGTTGGGTTCAACTGTTTGCAACTCTTTTGCGACCACCTGGGTGCTAATGCATCATCCAGGAACCGCATGTTGGCCATGCCGACAAAGAAAGGTGAAGTGTGACAACAAGCAGCCATGTGAGAATTGCGTGAAACGGGAGCATCCTCAGCTGTGCTCGTACAAACCGAACCGCTCTTCCGCCACCAAGAATTCTTCTGCGCATCAAAATGGCCAGACCAAGAAACGTGCTCGCTCATTCTCTGATGGCCATGACGAAAGCCGAAAATCCGAGCGTGGAGACAGTTGGCCGCGAACTATAGGTAACCCATCTCTACCCACTACAATCCATATAGCTTATATCTAATCAAAAATAACCAGGTGTATCAACAAGTCTAGATGATACAGAGTCTGTGGGGGATCGTTACCTTGGCCAGAATAGCATTCCGGCTTTACTCCGAGAGCAATCCTCGCCAATTGAAAAGATTGACAGCGTGGATATCCGAGGTGATATGCGGTCTATTCTGGGCCTTGATACCTCCGCCCCATTTCCTCTCATGTCGTCTCATCATCTCCATCGACTAGCCCAGGATATCTCGGCGGAGCTCCCATCCGACCGAGAGGTTATGAAGTAGGTGGACTGACCCTCTTAGTATAAGCAAGCAATGGTTGACAGTTTCTAGATTATTCCGTACATACAAAGAAATTCCTCAACCCTTCTGGGGTTTCGTTTGTGATATTGATGATTTTGAATCAAAGCTCATGGTCTACCTCGAAGACCGTTCCCGTAACGCCTCGACTGCTATGAAATCTTCAAGACCAGTAGCAGCATCCTGGCTTGCCATTTTATTTGCCGTCCTGGCTGTTGGCTCTCAGTATCATGAGAGCCCATACCATGTTCGCACTCGTGACTCTCAAAGATATATACAGATTTCGTTTCATTTTCTACGATTGGGTAACTTTTTGCTGCGGTATGTTGTTCGGCGCCGCCTGCCCCAGTACTTAATACTGACAACTTATCAGTCCGTCATTTGACTCTATCCAAGCCTTATTACTTACAAGTTTTGTCCTTTTGAATGATATGAAGGCAGAAGCCTCTTGGGCATTGACCGGTCTCACATGTCGCTTGGCCCAGTCGCTAGGACTTCACCGCACTTCTAGCTTGGAGGGCCGTGACAGTGTGCCGCCAAATGCCAAGGTGAAGGAGATGACGCGACGGAAGCTTTGGTGGACATGCGTTTGGCACGATACTTTGACGTCTCTTTCATTTGATAGGTATGTATTTTCTCGTTCCTGTCGTCCATATCGTGGAGCTAACGTTCTCCTGAGATCTCCCATGACAAATTTTCCAAGTTGCGATATCCCTATTAGCTCTGACACAACACCCGGTAAATTCACGTATCTGGAAATGATGTATCATCTCATAGAGATAATTTCACGACGACTAAACCCCGACGCAACCGCGACATCATCCTACTCGCAAATTATGGACAATTGCGAGGCAGTGGAGAACCTTCGTCGCCATTCATTACCACATATGCAGGACAAGGAACAGTGCAAGACGGCACTCCACCGTCTCCAATACTACGCAATCCGGTTACACACCTCCTTCGTCATCTCAGTAGCTTGTCGGCCTGCTCTCAAACGCACTTGTGATTTCGATCCCAATCAAAAGAAGGAGCTGGCAGATAGGTGCAAAGATAACCTTACACAAACAGTTCGGATGTTTTTGGCCATGCACCAACTGTCCGTGATTCCAACTCGAACTTGGGCATTTACATACCACGGGCTGTCGTCCGCGCTACTTCTTGGTATTCTGTGCGAGACCAAGACGGATCCAGAAATTCGCCAGCTTCAAGGGGACCTGATTGCCGCGCTTTCGGCCACTGCCGCAAAGGAGGCTAATTCGCCCGAGCCCCATATCGCTGTGAGCGATAAGGACATTGAGCTCTCTGGGCCCTTGTGGCGAGCCCTTACTGCCCTGAAGAACATTTACGAGCACGGCACGGTTATCGGCACGGCGCTCAAGCGCGAAGGAGATTTATCCGGTGGTGGGAGTGGTACCAGAACGCCTCTTCCGCCATTGATGCTAGGCAGCGCCAACGTAGCAAGCCTAGGTGCCCAATTACGTGCCGCACAAGCAGCAGGCGATCCTCGCGAGGACGCTGCGCTCGCCATGGCCGAGATGCAGAACGGGGCGTCGCTACAGGACTTTTCAGGGCAAGTTTTCAAATCGGCAGGCTACTCTTTTGTCATAGTGCATGTCTGACCGCGATGCAGAATCCCATTCTCTCAGTCGCTACCCGTAAATATGAACCTCGACGGCCTCCCCGGCCTGTCAGTCGACCAGGCACAATTAATGGCGCCAATGGACGTGTACGACTCCATATGGGGTGGTGATTATCTCGGTGGTGAGTAACTTCTTTGTCGAAATTTCTCTCTAATAATGACAATTTGTGAAATCCCCTGACCCTTGGAATTCAGGGAGCGTAGACGCCATGAACTTTGACTTTATGGCCCAGCCACCGCCGGGACAGCCGCAACAGCAGTTTTATTTCTAAATCTTGAAGAATCTGGATTTGGTAGCGATATGGAGTTGAGGAAGCGATTTGGTTACGAGTTATGTCCTAATTTTGGAATGAAACGGTTCACGTACGACAGAGCGAAATTGTATATTGGCTAGTGTCTTCAGCTATTAGAGTAAACATATGAATGGAGACTGGACTCATGAAAACCAACAGTCGTCAGCGCTCTCTTTGATCTTCACTGCCTTTACTACCGGGGTATGTAAAGAGTCAGGTCGAGGAGGTTACACACCCTGCAGGCGATAAACACACCCCAACATCAAGGCTCATCATCCGACTGTGCTCCAAGCATATGACCAACGTAACCTCGCTGTGATTCATTCAGGCATAAATCATAGATGTATATATCCGGTTTCTCGTCTTTTTTTTTCACTCTTGTCGCAATGCATACGTTATTTCTTGCGTCGGGAAGTACTCGACACAATTTTCTTCTTTAGATGCTTGGGCATCTTCTCCTTCCTCTTTTCGCGCTTAGCTTCCTTGACAGCTTGCTTATGTTGCTACAGAATAGAGTCAGCACTAGACGGTAGCAGTACGAGTTAGAAATCGAAACATGATGGCATACCTTCTTTTCATCCTTGTCCTCGAACTTGCGACCACGAGGACGACCTTTGTCGAAGCGAGCCTCATCGTCGGATTCACTGTCGGATAGGGAGACGCCGGAACCAGACTCATCCTCCGAGCCTTCTTCGCCCTCTTCGCCCTCGTCTTGCTTTGGCTGAACCACTTGGTCTGCCAGCAGATTCTTGTAGACCAGGTCACCGCCCTCTCCCTGGCTGAGCATCTGGGCATCCTTCTCAATGTTGTACACCTGCTCTAGAGTCTGCGGAATGTACTGGTTGCGGAAAACTTCATTGTCGACCTCCAATGCGGCGGCCTCGTCTTCGTTGGCTACGGATTCGCGCGTCTCGTACAGCTTGTCTATTGTTTCAGCCAGACCAGGTTCTTCGACAGGCCCGTTAGTGGCGGTGATGAAGTTGAAGATGGTTCGGTCAGAAAGTGTATCTACACCCTTGCGTCTGAAGAAGTCGCCGACGTTTTTTATATCCATTCGCAGGAACTCCAGAGATCGGGGGTGATCGGGCTCAACACTCTGCGATACGTCGATGATGTAGAGAAGACCATTATGGTACAAGATGTTGTACTCGCTAAGATCGGCGTGGACGAGCCGACACACTTGGTACATTTTGCGCATTACACCGAGAAGTTGCGTGTATAGGCTTCTCCACTGCTGGTCAACATCGTCTCCCGCGATAGTGGCATCTCGGAGTCGTGGGTACGCCCAGCCCTTCTTGTCACCTAGGAAGCCCATGACAAGAACATGCAGCTTCAGTGTGATGGGTTCCGGGCAGGGAATGCCAGCGGCGTGAATTCTCCTCAAGTTTCGATATTCCTTTTCTGCCCAGAGCTTGACCATCTTGCGATTATTTCCCTTGTCAAAACCACCCTTGAATCTATGTTCTCCAGTAATATACCTCTCTCTGTCCTTGAAAACTAGAATGGCCGTCTTGTATACTTTGATTGCCCTGTGGATCACATCGCCCGACTTGTCGTCGACAAGCATCGCTCCGTAGACATTGGCTTCCTTGCCAGTGCTGATGGCACCATGGACCTCGCTGACAAAGCCGCGGTTGATCATTTGCAGCAAAATCATGCGAGTCCGTTGATCAAGCACCTGATCGCTGGTAGCACGATCGGCCTTGTCCTTGTCCTTCTCATCGCTCTGCTTGACACTATCTAGACGGATCTTGGCAGCATGTTTTGACAGCGCGGAGACCTGGTCGTCCACACTGGCAAATGTGTTCGCTGTGGGCTTTTGTTGGTTCGATCGCGGGGCAGCAGCCGCTCCGTTGGTATTATCCTGCAGCTGACGCTGGCGGTTGTAGTTTTTTGTGAGGTCTCTTGCGTCCCCGCTCCATTCTTCCTCGTCTAGATCGTCGTCTTCAAATATATCGTCGAAGTCATTGTCGTCGTCTTCGTTGTACTCTTCTGGATGAGGGGCACCGCGCGGCATGCGCACCTCGGGGGGCACTGCCTGGGATGGCTCAACGTAGCCATTGTTGGCGGTGTAGGTGAATGGGGGCTCGTGAGGAGCAGCCGCCGAGGCTGTTGAAGTAATTGCCTCTGGCATTGTTTTTGCTCTCAGGGGGCTGTTTGTTGCAAAGCAGAGAGGAGGAGGAGGAAAAAGAAAAAAGAGATTCTTGTCGCGATTGTGCCGTCGTCGTGATAATCGAGGCCGCTACTTTTATCTTATCTAAAAATTTCGACATGGAGGAAATTGACCCCGCCAAAAATTTGCCCCTCATGTGGTGGCGGCACTCATTCATGACTGCCAACGGAGAAGGCGATAAAATGGTGACTCATGACGGCACGGCCCATCTCAGGCTGCATCGCATTGATCCCGTGCTACGGAGTAGGCTAACATTGAATGCTGTGCAGGCACTGGGGCGCTGCTGGCTGGGGCTGGTGGTCCCTGGTGCATGTCAGCTGAGCCTAACATTGAACACGGTGCCAACGCCGCCTAATTTGAAGCAATGGGGGAAGGAATAAGCGAATATTTGAAATGAGCGGTGGTAATTTTATATGGCACAATTCGGTGATACACTTGGAGAAATCAAGCATCTATACTCAGACCAATTCCATGATATTTGCTGGCTTCACATGCCGGTCTTTGGCCACAATGTCTGGTGCAACAGTCCCTCCCGGAGCCCGGAGGGAGCATGAGCGCCTGCCCCATTAGCGGCATTTAGTGGAGCGCTGGTGCTGCTTGGCATTACCGTGATAATCTGCCTCTCACGTCGAACTTCCAGTCATCATGAGTCTTGTGTGACTTGTGACTCCTCGTCGGCATAATCTGTATCCATCGTCATCTCCACCATCGTTCTGCCATCTCATCATCTCGGAGCCGAGTGCCGCTCCCGAGCTCTTTGGCACCACAATCCACTTTGTGCCGCAGCACTTAGGCAAGACGGGAGGCGCCACGACCACCTGAATTAGATCAAAATCAACATATCCGCGGTCCCGGGACAATCGTTTGACACCAGACACGTGATCCCCACGCGTGAACTCCCTCCCCCGAACGGCGTCATGGTTCTGCACAGCTGACGTCTCCTTAGGCCCCTTTGTACAAGGGAGGCTGGCCTTAGTTTCAATGTCTCACCACAACGGCATACCCTCAATACTATTGGCCATCCAAGCATGCAATTTCCCTTTTCTAGTAGCCCCTGCAGGAATGTGTCGCACTCACATGAGGAACGTTCCCTTCACCTCGTACATAGCTCAGGGAGGCATCTGCAGGCTCCAATTTGCTCAATTTTAATCAACATGCCATGCCTGCGAGACACATGGTGTCCTCCGCGGTGAGACCAACCCGCAAACCTTAAGTTCCAAGACGATATCAATAGGCAATGGCCGCTTGTTTTTGTTTTCGGTGACATGAGAATTGGACTCTTACCCGCTTTGTAAAGAGTTCCAAATACCCGCAGCTCCTGTTGCCATCTAGTCGCCTTTCCAGAACTGAAGTGACGACAACGGTGCAAAGTCGTATTCGCTCAGCATAATCACCATGAAGGCAACCATTGCGGCCATTGTTTTGGCACTTCTGGCAGAGGGGGCTGTTGTTGGTGAAAGGGTTGACGCAGCGCCACAAGCACCAGCTCCCAGGACAAACGGCAGGTCATTCACGTTGCATCAAGTTGTGAACAACAACTTCCAAGGTCACGATGGACCTACGTCCTTCTTGCGCGCTCATTTCAAATATGCGCAGAAATTGCCAGACTATCTGTCCAAGTTGGTAGAAATCAATCCAAACTTTCGCATCAAGTTTGGTGCGGCTTCCCAAGGTAAATGTTATCCAGAAGTGACGCTGTGGCAGGTCCTCAGTCTTTTACTAACGAGCATCATAGCAGGGGAGCAGGTAGGAACTGTTGAAGCAAATCCCTCGCCGCTCGTAGACACAGAATATGCCGTCGAAATCGGCATCGGTACACCGCCGCAGCGTATTCGGTTGAACCTGGACACCGGGTCTTCTGACTTGTAAGCACACCACGCTTTGATTCACCGTTATGCCCCTACCTAATATCTGACACCAAAAATAGTTGGGTATTTTCAACCGATACAACCCCAAGCATGGTGCACGATCAAGGGCTTTACAACGCCAACAAGTCAACGACTAGCCATTTCTTGACAGGGGAATCCTGGAAAATCAAGTACGGCGATAATGCGTCGGCCAGTGGCTATGTCTACACCGATAGAGTGCAGATTGGGGAAACCTACGTCGATACCCAGGCTGTCCAAGTTGCCGTGAATGTGACAGAGGATCTCTCAGAAGACAAGTTTGTGTCTGGAATCTTGGGAATGGCTAATAGTGCTGCCAATACCGTCCGCCCTACGCCTCAGCGAACCTATATCGACAACATCAAGAATGACCTAGCTCTGCCACTATTCACAGCAAACTTGCAGCGTCAGGCTCCCGGCAGTTACAACTTTGGATATATCGACGACTTTGAATATACGGGGGACATATCGTATACGCCAATCGAGCGTACGTTTCCCCTCTGGATGGTCCACACCACGGGATACAGAATTGGCAAGACCTCTCACGATAAATCAATCAATGCCATTGTCGACACTGGTACATCGCTGTTGCTGCTCCCTGAGACCGTCGTTTCCAACTACTACGCAAAGGTTAAGGGGTCCAGCGTCGATCCTCGGCTGGGCATGAGGGTGGTCCCCTGCAATGCCAACCTGCCCGACTTTTATCTTACTATCGGCTCATATCGAGGCAGAGTGCCTGGCAGTTATATGAACTACGGGAGAGTCAGCGGCAACAGCTGCTTTGGAGGCATCCAATCATCAGATGCATTGCCGTTTTCGGTCCTGGGAGATGTTTTTCTCAAGACTCAGTTTGTGGTGTTTGACTACGGGAACGCACGTGTTGGTTTTGCAAGAAAGAATCTGTATGAATGAAGGACACTTGATTCGGAGTGTATGATATCCGGGTGATTTAGAGCTGTGGGTGTATTTATATGGATAGACTATCAATGAAGCATGCAAAGAGGTTGGGAGAGGATACAGTTTTCTTCTGTCACAGTCGTTAAGAGTTAGGTTACATGATGTATTTCGCTCGCAGTATTGAAATACTTTTCGAGCCCAGGACGAGGACCTCGTAATGGCACCATGACTTTTACTCACACGTGTTTCCCATCCGAGACGTGAATACAGTTGAGTATCACACAAGCCTCTGGAATTGGACTTGACACCCGGAAGCCTGCGACACCCCGGCAAGCCAATATCTCGGGTGGTCCCGTGGCCAAGGTTCAACAATGAGCATATATAGGCAGTCTGAAAAATCGAGGAAATGGAACGACCTCGAGGGCCTTTCCCCAACAAACATGCGCGGGTGCCCAAAATGTCATACCACCGTCTCACCACTTCTCGCCGCCCGTCTTGGCTCTATGGCGGGGTCTCATCTACAACCAGACGGCCATTACCGACATCAACTTCTTAGTTTAAAAAGGCGATGCCTTCCGTCTAAAAGCCACCATCTCCGGCGTGATTACCAACTGGCCAGTGTCCGCGGAAAACCAAGACACCAGACCCAAGCAAAACACACAAGTGTACACATGGCGCCCGCTCATACGTCACATCCACCACCCAGCTCGACATTTAAAAGACACACACACCGGCGGAGGCCAGAAACATGCAACTCTCCGAAGCCAACCTCGCAGCCCTCAACCGTCTACACCAAGGCCAAGCAACAGCCCCGACCATGGACAGCGTGCTCGTCATCGGCGCCGGCGAACTCGGTCTCTGCGTGCTCCAGGCCCTCGCCGCCCATCCCAAGCGGCAACACGTCAAGGTATCAGTGCTCATGAGGCAGGCCACGCTTGACTCGGCGGCGCCCGCCAAGAAGCGAACCGTCCAAAAGATCAAGGACCTAAATGTCCACTTCGAGTCCGCAGACGTGGTGCTCGCCGGCGTGGAGGAACTGGCGGGGACTTTCAAGGGCTACCACACCGTCGTGTCCTGCTCGGGGATGGAGCTGCCGAGCGGCACGCAGACGAAGCTGGCCGAGGCGGCGCTGCGGGCGCGGGTGAGGCGGTATTTCCCCTTGCAGTACGGGATGCGCTACGACGTCATTGGGGAGGGCAGCTCGCAGGACCTGTTCGACGAGCAGCTCCTCGTGCGGAGGATGCTACGGGGGCAGGGCGAGACGGAGTGGGTGATTGTCTCGACGGGCCTGTTTATGAGCTTCCTGTTTGTTGCCGACTTTGGCGTCGTGGACCTGCGGCGCGGCGTCGTCAGGGCGCTCGGGAACTGGGACAACAGGATTACGCTGACGGCGCCGCCGGATATAGGGAGGGTGACGGCCGAGGTCGTTCTCGATCCGAGGGGCGTTCGCAACGAGGTTGTCCTTGCGGCCGGGGATACCGTGTCCTACGGCCAGCTGGCGGGCCTGCTGGACGAGCACTTTGGCACGAGGTTCACGAGGGAGCTGTGGGACGTGGACGCGCTGAGGAGGCAGATGGCCGAGGACCCCAGTGTCATGGTCAAGTATAGGGATACCTTTGCCCAGGGGAGGGGCGTGTCGTGGGACAAGGACAGGACGTTCAACTATGAGAGGGGGATGGAGCTGCTGGATGTGAAGGGGTATTTGGAGAGCACGAAGTTCAAGGTTGGCGAGGAGTAGCCGTTCAGCCCGAGGCATCACGGCATCACGGCACGGAAAACTCGTTGAGCTGGACTCATTGGACTACTAAACGTCCGGCGTGGGATATATGTAATAGTAATGTAAATCCGAATACTTTACCTCGAACTGCGCACTTCTCCCGTGTCTGCCTGCATACTTACAGTCCATGAAATGACATGTATGTACCAGCATAAATATACTACAATACAACGTTACAGCGAGCAACAGCAGGTGTTCTTTCCGGCCAACTAGTTGACTCTTTTCATCGGCCTGTATATGGCCCTTCTAAGGCTTCTGGCTAATAGTCCAGGCTGAGAACGCTCGGATTCCTAGCTAATCCTCGCTCTGAGAGTTGGAAAAAGAGTTGGGTGAAGAACTGACCCCCCGAAAGTATACAACTAGGTATGCAACTACCACCCTACTGCTTGATTATTCTTCTTTCTTTATATTACCTCTTCATACGTTGTTATTCGCACGGCATCTCCATATCCGTCATTAAAAAAGAGCATTGCAAACTAGCCACAACCTAGATGCATGCACTACCTCCTGTGCATTTGTTGGAACCAAGCCTCGTAATGACCCTCAAAGGCCAGCCGACTTCGATAGATCGGAGCACCGATTCTACGGAAACCAAATCTCAAAAAAAAAAAAAAAAAAAAAAAAAGCTACTAATTGGAGGCCTCGGTGTTAGTGTCGGCCGGGACCCGAAACGAAGGCAAATATCGGGCATGTATCAGGCATTTAAGCCAAACCGGCCACCAGCTGGATCACCAGTCGGAGAAGGGCTTGGTGCCGCCTTGGGCACAGAGGATAGCAGTGCCCTATCCAACCTAGATGTATTTTTTGGCTGCTAACAGGTCCCCGGGACCTTCGGAAGCATCGTAGAGTCTGACGAGCTTGGCAGTGTCGTGGGAACAACTCAATACTTGTCCGCAGCTTCGGTTCTTGTCAAAGGATTTCCTGGCGGTTGCTGACTGACGCGGACGTGACCCATTGCACGATAGGAAAGTGAGTGAAATTGTCGCATTATTCAATCCCCGTGCAATTCCATGCTGGAAGCTTTGCTGTTCCATCATATTCGCAGTCCTCTATTATCTCTGTGCAATTACAATGCCTTATCTCAGCCCCTTGACAATGCACGACTGTTAAGACAACAACGTGCCCCTCGTGTGGTGATGCACCAGAGATTGACTCGCCATTTCCCAACTTTCTGGTGCAACGTGAAAGAAAGAGGGATAGTGTAGCATGGTAATGAATGGTGACGGTTGATGAAAAGAGAGCACCCTACGTCATCAAGAGTCTTGGACGAGGAGGACGGGACTCCAGGTTGTACATATTAATACACAGAATCCACGCCATCCAGACAATAAAGGGGACAATTAAAGGCCTGACGTCCATGCGCCTCCACCATCGTTGACTTCATTGTGAAGGATGTTGAGCGGTCGCTACCTACCGCTAGCCCTATGAGGCTAGTGTAAGCTCGGGCCACAAACAGGAAATGCCATCACCGCGTGTATGCATTCACACTAGAGAGGGAAAGACTGTCTAGAAATGCTTGTTAGATAGCGGAATGGATCCTTGCCTTTATGAAGGATTTCTCTGTGCATTGTGACCTGAAAACGTAGGCGGGATTGAATCAATCAAGCCTCTGAATAAGGCTTTGCCATTTGTGGGCGGAAGATGGGAGGATGCATGTGCTTAGGACGTCGCAGGGAAGAAAGCACTCACTCCCCAAGAACATCCGGTACAGTCATCCCTCCTGCCATAACATATTGATTAGTCATATTGATACCAGAACACGGCCCAGACACAGAAGTGTAGGAATACCAGGCCTTCGCATTGACGGTTTCACGGACTGGGGATGGGTCGCAGGTTTGCCCAGCTCGGGGGCTCCATGCGGTGGAGGACGATGGACATGCATTGCAGGACGGGTCAGGTTTGTGGCCCGACAAGACTCGAAGCTGCGGTTTGGCTGTCAGCCTTGCGACCTGGGGAGCCTGGAGATGGGCTTGTCGAGACTCGTCGAGATGTGGTGAAGAGACCAGTGGGTGACTGCTTCGTGTCCCAGGTGCCGTCTCAAGTGCTGGCAGCTGGGTGCTTCGCAGGCCAACAGGCACTGAACGCAGCCTGTTCCAGCAGGTGACATCACGCCCGGCAGCAGAGGACGTGCCGAGGGGGCGTCCACGGCCAGGTCAAAGCTGGGAAGGAGGGGACCAATGGGGTGCCGCAGCAGCTGCACAAGTGGGTCTATTGTTCGGCCTGTAACATGTGAACTCCGAATGGCTGACGCATTCGGCGGCTCATCGACCATCGGCAATCGTTCCAAGTTGTAGGGTGCGTGGCGAGACGTCCCATGACTCACACGTCACTCGTGTCTAAATGGCGTTCAGTCTTGACAATGCTGAATGGGATGCCCGGGCAAGGCGCAGCCCAGATGACTCTATCGCTGGCCAATCAGCGCCGACGCCGTGAGGCAGGCTCTCAACTCGATATAAGTCGTTGTCGCCACGGCTACCGCATGTCATCTGCTTATCGAGGAGTCCGAGTCCCTCAAGATCCATCGGTTTCTACTCGGCTCTTGCGACCTTCTGCCCCCTAAACTAATACTCGCCCTTGACGAAACGAAGAGCGGCTGTCTCGGAAAATAGAAGGCGGGGTGTTGTGTTCCTGAACCTTCTACTTTGACATCTTGGCAACTACAACGCCCTGGCGTTGACAAGCTACACCCGACCACCACTAAAAAAACGGCGTCAAGTTTTATCAAACACGTTGTCAATAACGTCTTGCACGGGAAAAAGTTTTGATACACCCATTAAAATCGACAAATTCCCCCCTACGGAATGGGTCCAGTTCCCGACAGCCTCTCCGGAGAGGATGGTCTCCATCTAGCACAGAGGCGACATCGTCGCCGCGGCGTCAAGCCACCGTATCGTTCTCTCAACCGTCTCGTCCGTGCTGGCGCAAAGCGTCTTGTCGAAAGCGGCCAAACCAACATCTTTCCCGACTGTCACCAAGATCATAGCCAGCTTGATAAAGCCAGTTTGCGACCCCACGTCCAGCAAGACCTACGTCGATACTACTTCAACATCGGCCAGTCAGCCTATCGAGGAGACCAGATTTCCAATTACAATGGCCCTACTCCTCGCAAAGTAGGCGGTCAGGACGACGGTCGAGATCTTGCATATAGCGACATCGAACTGCCTTCAGATCGGTGTCGCCTCGTTCGAATACCGACCCTCGAGAGAGAGGATGCTTTTCGGTATCCATCTACTTCCAAGATTCATATTCGCCCCCGTGCCGACCCTGCCAACGAAGACCAGCAGGTCGCCGATCTCTACAGCATGGGACTGCTCTACGATACTGACGAGCAGGATCGTAGCAGCGGCGACAGCTTTAACTTGAACAGCATCAGGCATAATGAGCCACTCTACCCAATCCGCCCCGCTAGGCGGGCGCGAAAGCACAAGGTCGCCAAGGATGGTTTTCGAGACCAGGCCTTGCACCTTAATCTCTCCTTTTCCGATCTGGGCGATGACGATGCTCTTGCCCAGTATTTCATGACTTTCACTCAACCGGACACCGACGAGGCGATTCAACATGCGCCTCAAGAGCCGGTCGAGTCGCAACGACCTCCTCTGCGTGTTGTTTATGAGCTTTCAACTTCAGAGCCTTCTTTCGATGTCGACACGTCGCAACCCCCTGATTTGGTGTTGGACGTTTTGTCAGACTACGACTGCTTCTCAGACGGCGAGCTAGACGACACACCCTCCCAGCGGGAGGTGCAAGAGAATGCGGAAAATTTACCTGCAGACGCTTGGGTCATACTGGGCGACGACTCGTAACAGGTCCGCCGATGGGACCCCCCCGTGTGCCGCTGGGATTTTGGCAACAGGACATATATTTTACGGAGAGATTTATGACGATATGAAGGTCTTGGTGGAAACGACTCACCCCGGACTGGTCCTCAAAAACCTAATATGACTATAGTCATGTTTGTTATTCGAAGGATAAATACTGGCTTGGGGACGAGAAGAGAGTCTGGTATTCTTTTTGTTTCTTTTTTAAATCCCACAGGAATGGGTTTAGATGGGAATGCAATCCTGCTTGGCAACTGTATTACCACCACAAGTTGCATCGAGTACTTGCTGCTGCAGAAGCAAGCATCTCATGAGCATCATTCTTTTTTCTTGTATACTAGCTTGGTCTGTGTGTACGAGTTGGCCCATCTGAAGCAAAGAACTTTACGCATAGAGTGTGTGGCGTTCGCTCTTGGTCCTAATTAGTCCTAACAATGCATGCATTTATTACACTGATGATTTTCTCACTTTATGAACGATTGATTGACGCGCCTCATCCCAGAAGGAATAAAGGTCCGGGGATGTGTCTTTGGACGGAGTAGTACTACAGTAAACCATGTCTATAACGATCCTGTATCTTAGCGATATTCGGGTTTTTACGATAATTCACGGTCATCTAAGGTTTTTCCCTAGTAAATCGTTAATAGTCGGGTTACTTGCGATATCGTTAGCCTCAGGCTTAGTCACCATACATTTTAGTGTTTTTATCGTTATTAGGCCTCCACTGTAAGGGCTGAATTTCGCAGCCTTCAACGCGTTTTTCTTCCTTCAACACCACATGCACGCACTAATTGGCAGGGAAAATTAAAGCTGCTCAGCAATAATTAAAGCTGTAAACGCCAGCTCAAGGATTGGGATGACCGCCGCGAGGCTCTTTTAGCTGTGGCACGCGATACGTATTAAATTGAGCCCTTGTTTGCCCGCGTTGACGGGCGTGTTGACGGGCGCGTTGACGAGGGCCGCGATAAGCTTCAACAGCAGCTTCAACAGCAGCTTCAACAGCTTCAACAGCTTCAACAGCTTCAACAGCTTCAACAGCTTCAACAGCTTCAACAGCTTCAACAGCTTCAACAGCTTCAACAGCTTCAACAGCTTCAACAGCTTCAACAGCTTCAACAGCTTCAACAGCTTCAACAGC